GTAGTCCTTAACTTACAGTTACAAGTTAAAAAGTTAAGGACAGTTAGTCCTAAACTTAGACTTACAATCTCAAAAATTAAGGACACTTAATCCTTAACTTAGAGTTACAAGCTCAAAAATTTATGACATTTAGTCATGAAGTTAGAGTTGGAAGCTCAATACACTTAGTCCTGAATTTAAAATTACAAGTTCAAGATACAAATGTAAGCAATTAAGAAATAATGAATACATTTAGGGACTTACACTTTTTTGCGACCTTTCCATTTCTTCTTGCCCAACCACCCAATGAATTTCTTCAATAAGTTTTCATCATCTTTGGCATAATGAAAAATACATGTACGAGTATATTTTGATTTTATTCAGCATGTATACTTAGGAGTATTTTCATTGTGCGCCATCGATGTTCCTCTTTTTCTTTTCTGTTCAAAAGGAGATTTCAATTGCCAACTAAGCTTCTTATTCCTTTTCCCTCGACCAAGCTCTTCTTCAACATTTTCTTCAACCTCCATAGACAAACCCTCATCAATGCTCATTTGTGTAGTCGGAGGAGTAGGAGTAAGAATAGCAAATGATGGACCATCAAAACCAATACTATCTCTCTTCCTTTTCCTAGTATATTGGTTAACGGCTTCATTTTTGTTTTGCTCTGCAAGCAACACTACATATACATTAGTTTGCTGCAAGTCGTCAATTCTATGAATTGTCAAATGAAGAGACAAAAACTAAGGACATAATTTTTGAAATGTCCTGACAATTTAAATTATGAATACAATATTAAGGACACAATCAATACTTGTGTTGGCCACGCTGCCTTCTTGTATTTCTTTAACAGACAATAGTGCTGACATATTGTTTGTATTTTCTTAATCTTGCAACTGTTCTCCATGTTCTTCGATTGCAAGTTCATAAGATTCTGCAAAATATTTACATGAGCTAACATAATTAGTACTTGTTACTAATATTTGATTAATACAAACATGTATAAGATGAAAAAAAACTCCGTCTAACCATTTGCAACTGTCAAGATCATGCCAGTTAAATCATTATCTTGACTAGCATTTTTTTGGCTTCCAATATTGTCTGTAAGAGAGAGGGGTGTAGAGATATCATACGTTCCTTCTATAGATTTGCAAACAATCTCGCTTATGCTTGTTCCTTGGGTATTTTCTATGTTTTGAGATTGTCCTCCACTTCTCTCTTTTGAAATTTCATCATCTTGATAGTCCACTCCATTTTTTTTCCTTGCAGTTTCAAAAGATTCTGTAACATTTATAATTAATACTTGTTACTAATAGTTTACTAAAACTTTAACATTCAACATGTCATAAAAATTCCATCTTACCTTGATTGGCATTATTTTGATTTCCAAATTTCTCTTTAAGTGAGAGAGGTGCAGATATATCATATATTTTTTTCAACACATTTGCATACAATCTCACTTATACTTGTTCCCAATGGATTTTCTAAATCCT